TGTGTGTGTGTGTGTGTGTGTGTGTGTGTGTGTGTGTGTGTGTGTGTGTGTTTGTGTGTGTGTATTTTGTATGGATGTGTGTGCTTGGGCAAGGGAGAAACTAAAAGATTCTGAGTGCAACACTAATAACATTCAATCATAGTTTTGTCAACTTTTCAAAAACCAAAAAGCAGGCTCTTCCCAAAGGGAGGGTCAATACTTTGGGCATTAGCCAAGTAAATCTCTTCAAATTGCTCATATTCAATTTTCTCTGCATTCAAGATATCTAAAATACACTTTTCTCACTATCATTCGCGAATTCAATATTGAAAGTTCGCAATTTTTCAATGCTATCGCCAAGCCCATGAGGAGGAATACCAGTAAACAGAGAATGATTTTCAGAAACAATAGCGGACTTATGTACCAAGACCCTCAAAAACATATTAAATACTTTTTTACAAGCTAGTTGGCAGATATATTCGATGTATGACATGTTGTGACCTTTGATTTTCTTAACGAATCAATTTCCTTACAGAAAAAAAAAGAGAAGAAACGGTAGTTTGTTTTAGTAAGAGTTTTACAGAGCTCGCAACTGCATAGGGTCATATGAGCGAATTAACAATAGTTTAAATGAAAAACAAGTCACAAAGCAGAACTGGTTAACGCATGGTGGTGGCTCCTCCGACAACCCCCCTCCCTCAACCAAATTCTTTTCATAAAAGGGGCTATAAAGCTCTGGGTAAACCTCTGTCTATCAAAAAGCCAATATTTCGAGCAATAATTAAAGAACTCATACAACAATACCACAATGGAAAGCAGATCATACATACACATGCAATTAAGTTAAAGCTCAAAGTAAAGAAATATTTCTAAAACACAAAAACGATAAATAATTCATCAGCTTTTTTAGAAAGTTATGAGTAGATTTGTAAATCAGATAAATACAACTTTGATCTTCAGAATATAACAAAACAAATCAAATCAAATCATCAAAACATAGAACTTAAGTAAAGACAGCATTGAAAAATAAATAGGCCTATTATGTTATTCGCAGCCTAAATCTTGGATGATTCAATAAAGAATGTGACTGACTTACTCCCTCTATCAGTGGAAAATGGTGAATGATTCCATTCTCAACTTCTGACCATCACTGACAAACTAAACAAAAACACTAGGCAATGACAAGCAGCTTTAAAAATCGCCAAATTAAATTTCACAATATGACATCGACATCCCCAAATAGGAAGTAAAAGTAAAATCAGGACTTTGCTGATTTTGTCATTACTAGAAAGCTCTTTTAGTAAAATTGAAGGGGGCAAAGAAAGGAATTACGTTTCCAAAAACAGTGTAGTCCTAGATGAAAAGGGGAGTTGTTCCTTTCAAAAGCAACATTTTTAGTCATGTTAGGGCAGCTGCAAGAAAGAGACAGCCTATTCAGCAAAAGAACTGTATGTGCCTATCACAATTACTGCTTTCAACAGCCAAGAGAGGGTCTTGCATTTTCACAAAATGCCATTTTCCATTTATGCTGCTGGTTAACGGTAAAAAACAACAATTTGACACTTCTATGAACTGGCAATTCAATACAGAATGGATGATAAAGAAATAAAATATCCATCATCCCCCCCCCCCACAGCCCTCTGATTAAATGAACTTTAGAAGTTACATATTAAATAACAAAAAACATCTGTATAGCACATATCATCATTCAGTTGTAAGCTCTATGCACTTTACAATCTATATTACTACCTCAGCAAACCCTGGAACACAAAGAAACATTTTCAACCTCCTAGAAAACATACATCTCCTGTACTCACCCTCCCCCTCTCACCTTGAACAAGTCCACAGAAATTTTTAAAAAGTTATCCCTTCAAATACCAAGAAGTCACATCCTGATTCCATTCACAATTCTACTCCATCCCACATTGAGACCGCATCTAGCTAAGGAATAAGTCTGATTGTTTTTCTTTTCATTTTGGGGGGAGAAAGAGCCAGATGTACCAAAAACAGTTGTGTATCTGGTAGACTGAATGTTTTGTTCTTTTGTTTGACTAATATGGAGCAGTTCTGGAATAGGAGCAGGCAGAACATGTCTCTATGGCAGGTCATATCATCCCTGCAACATACATAATATGTATATCAAGTGCATATCAACTGCTTAGTGTAAGACTCCGCCATATATATGTCATTTTGAAATGTGACGTATGACTAGAGTTTTATACTGAGCAGACATTATATTGTTGCAACTGTGGCGAATTTTATCCACCCCCATTTACAAAATTTATGTCCTATCAGAGGCACACACAATGCTTTGACCCTGCTCATCACGGTGGACCAGAGCTGCGTCGGTTACATCCCAGTAAAAAGATTGAGATAATCAGTAAGATATCTTCCTCATTTGGGAATAGAACTAATGTCTTTTACTTTTAGCCTTACCGTTGCCTACAGATGACGGTACAATCAAACTTTGACAGCGATGTCAGTTCATGCTCAAAAGAGCAGGAAGAAATTCCTGCTCCCTCATACATTCTTCTTCACAACAATATCTTGGCCGAAAAATGTTTCTGGATGTATTCAAAACATTTAGCAAGCAACACAAAATTGAACATCTCATGAACATACCAGCCAGGTACAGAGAGTAAAGGAACGCAGTTTCAAACATGTTGTGGGCTCTTTTCAACACAACTCAACACCATTTCAAAATTTCAATACAAATGGTATAATACATAAACAACTTACTCTTCGTATGCATAAATCACGAGAATGTCCAAAAGAGTAATCAGATTCGCCATTGACTAGTCTCCTTGAGAGTACCTTGTAAAAATACAATTTTAAAAAATATAGTTTTGTGTACACCTCAGAACAAAAACTCGCAGTTTGGCGTGGAAGTGACGAAACTTTCATCGCTACAGGATACAACTGGAGCTCAAGCTTTGTCTCCACAGTTCCCCTCTCAGACAGGACTCAGCCCTTGGCAGGTTCATCTTCAAGAACATGCAGCCCAGCTAAGTTCCACAACGAAACGCCATATCTCAGTTCACACTAGAGTGCAAAGAGGAGAAACAATGTCACATGTCTTTTCCAAGGACACATCACTGAACAAAGTACTGTCAGGAAACAAACCCAAAACCTCTACACTGCAAGCGTAGTAGCCTGTTCCCTTAGCTAGCTTTGTTATCCTGATGCGACCACCTTTCTCGACTCAGCAACAACAAGGGTATCAGTTCCTAACCATCAGGTTATTCAGGTCAATCTGGTGTGTGTCACATCAAGCAAATTTGTCAGAACACTGAGCATATTCTAGGTTTCAATCTCTTTGATTATTCCTTCAAAGTTGTGCACACATGTCCAGAGTCTCAAACACAAGTATAACATGTTGTGAACTTCACTTTTCTTGCCAGTTCATTTCCTTACGAAAGACAAGGGAAAAACAACCAGGAAATAAATTGTTTTTTCTTCTTCTCATGAACGAGTATTTCACAAAGACACAACAAGCACTGGATATTTACAAAACGTTCCTCCATAACAGACTGACTAGGCCTGATGTGATTAGAAACACAAAAGAGAAAAGCAAGTTCGAGGAGCATGTGACCACAGTTTCCGAGACTTGGATGTCCACTGTTGAACTCTCCTTCACTCAGTCTTATCAAAAAGCTGTGAAACTTCCTGGAACGTAAGAAATATCTGAAGAATTGCCCAAATCTTTTTGAGCAAATTTTCCTGAAACTTTTAAAGTCAGTTTCCATATAATGTTGTCTGCGGGAGGACAACTGATGGATGAAAAAGATGAACTGTCAGGACAGTGGCTTGTTCATCTTTGAGCAAAATATGTAGAACGTCTTCCCTTGTATGAAAGTCACAGAAGGCAGACCCCAGGTCTCTTTCAAGAAGCTCTATCTAAGGCACTGCCTTGCTTCAGAGCCTCATAACGACTGTGAACTTTCTCAAAGTTGACTGTTGATCCTGTGATGCTAGGGGACCGATCGCTGCCGCCGATCGAGCCACCGTCATGAGGTGTTAGTAAACCACTGGGAAGGAGAAACAAAGAGGTTTTGTTTGAGAGATAGAAAACACATCCACAAAATAATGGCAATATTGTACAGGAGAAAAGCAAGGTAACAGCAATAGTTTGTTCGTCAGTGTCTGACAATGACCAGTGTATCTGCTGAGGGGAGTATTTCTTAAGCAAAATACAAGAAATAAGATTACTGCGCATTTGCTAACCTTTGGTAATCCATGTCATTTATTTCCAAACGTAGTTTGACACAAAAACTTATCAAATGTCTCCTTTAAAAGAAGAGGATAATAAAGATTTTAGCTACTTTGTGAGTTTGAAAACTTACGATTCCACAGGGGCAGGCATGAACATTCGCTGTCTTTCAATCATTTTATGTATCGTCTTCAGATTAGCCACCTCCTCCGGCAGATGACCCTCTAGCGTTCTCACATTCAGATCAATGTCCGATCGTGCCTGAAAAGCCAAAGACATGAAGTTATCCAGGGCATGGGTTATCAATACACTGTACCATCCCAAAAATACGGCTAGAGAAACTGTTCTTTATTTTGTACTTATAAGAGGGCTATATTTAAATGCTAAATTATTTCTTTCAATTCCCCCCCTCCCCCAAATGTAATGGAGTCTTTAAAGTAAGTAAAAAGCATCTTTCATGTACGATGTCACAGATACTCACATATGGCCTCACAAGAGCAGAGACCCCAGATGTGAGTATTATGTCAAGTAATTTCCAAAAGAAGAGCTCAAGTATTAAGTGAACTGTACCTTCCCATGTTTGCAAACCACTCACATCAGATGGTACTCTCAGCTACACTAAGAGTTAAAACAGTCTACTTTTTGTGTCTACACAATAATCCTTATTTAGCTTGGGGTAAAAGCTTATCAGACAGACAGACAGAAAGAAACTGCAGAAGGCGAGCAAGAGAATCTTTACCCATGAATGCACCCTCCCCCACCCTCCCATTCTCAAAATAAGGGGAAAAAAAGAAATAAGACCGAACAGTGGTGCGTGATCTGTGACACATTTAATTAATGTATCATCATAAAAACATGCATACACAGAGAACTAACAGACAGACACATACACCCCTCACCAGTAACATCTCGACACATTTCTTTCGACCTAGTTTGCACGCCAGATGTATAGCAGTCTCCCCACGGTTGTCCTGTACGTTGATGGGTGTCGGGTCGTACTCCAACAAAAGAGACAACACCTGAGGGATGTCGCCAGCACCCCTGACGGCGTGGTGCAGAGCTGTGTAGCCAGTGGTCAAGTTGACGGCACACACGTGACTGATCAGGCCATCTGTGTGTGAATGTCACATAGAACGAAGAATAGAAGAGAATCCAATAAGGGTATACATAGAGAATACCGTGAGAGAATGAGATGTACTTAGTGAAAAGATAAAGTGTCTATAGTGTGTGTGTGTGTGTGTGTGTGTGTGTGTGTGTGTGTGTGTGTGTGTGTATGTGTGTGTGTGTGTGTGTGCAAGTGTGTGATTGTGCATATGTGTGTGTGTGTGTGTGTGTGTGTGTGAGCGCGTGAGCGTGCGTGTGTGTGTGTTCTTATGTGTGTTTATGGTCACATGTGTAATTATGAGTAGGTGTGCGAGCACAAGTGTTTGTGCATCCTGGTAGGGCTGCACTCATAGGAATTTGTCAGATGCTTATTTATTTTATGCTTTCTTCTCTATATTATTCAGTTTGTCCTCTCTATCAGCTTTCGTCTTGCTTTACATCATATCATCTCTCTATATAAGCAATTTTTTCTTTGTTATCTTTTTTTTATCTTCTCTCTGCTTTCTGCTCACTCAACATCATCTGAGTTCTTTCCTTATTTGAAAGTATGTAATCTCTTGTCAACTTTTTTTATATAATGTTATCACAACTGATCTGATCTGACTTCATCTCTGACTCACCATGATATATGGACAGGCCCTTGGGTCGGTTGGCATCATTCACAATCCGACTGAGCCGAGTCTGGTAGAAAAGCTCTGTGCTGTCAGCCAGGCCAGTGGTCACTTGAACTTGAGGGGAGGATGCTCTTTCAAATCTGGAGAGAGGGGGGAAATATTGTAAAGCTGTAGCTAACTGAGAGTCAGGTTGATTGCAAAAGTTGTTGTTTCCACCCCACTGACTCACTTTAGGTCATTTCATAGGTCAGGAATGTTGCTTCAATTCTGCCCGTTACAGCCAACCCTCAGTGAGTGAGATAAAGCAGCCCAGCAGAAAGGTGGAGATACAGTCAGACCTGCCTTAGCGGTCACCTCTTTATAGCAGTCATCTGTATGATCACTAAAGGCAACTATTCCATGACACCATTTCATTTTTTTCCAATACTTTAATTTTTTTCATGGCAGACTCTATTCAACGCCACCACGGTCAATCATTTTTGCAACAAGTCAGCCTCAAACCTGCTCACAGAGGTCATTTACTACAAAAGTTTTCAACTAACCCGTCCTCAGATTGAGTGTATATGTTCAATCAATGCACAGAAGCTCTTATCATAGACAACAATTTTGATGGAAATGAAATGGAAAGATAAAAACAGTGATTTCAAATTTCAAACTATTTGTTAACTTTGTCAAGTCAAGTAAATGATCATAACTCAGACCCTGACTCTTGTGACCACCTGTCTACAATGGACTTTTTTCTCAGTCACCTTTAATGGCCATTATGGACAGGTTCAACTTGTACGTAACAAAAAATACATTCTCAAGCTGGAATTGGACTCGTGTCTTTTAACTTTTAAAAGCATTGGCAGGAGCCTAACCATTACATTACAGACACCCTTATAGTGAATCTACAGAATATAAGAACAGTTAGCCTAGAAATGTGCACTCATGTGACTTTATGTAGTAAAACACTTACCAAAAAAACAAAAAAACCAACCCTAGAATATCACAACAAAAGATACACTATAAAAAAGGAGCAGACCATAACAAAACAATGACTGAGACTTTTGCTTATTTACAATGTGAACAGCAGTTATTTGGAAGAACTTACCTCGTGTCGGAGACAAACTCAGGGCCAGTAAAGATTGAGGATGAGACATCGTGACTAGTCTGAAATTCATCTGAAACAGTGCAAAAGATGATGGTATGACAATCTAAAAGCATCCAGACCTGCTCATCCAATCAGCAGGCGCTCCGTCTACAACTGTTATAAAAAGCAATGACTCGAAAGGAGCAATTTTTTTTACCTCATTAAAACTTGATCCATTCACAAACTTCTCTCTAATAAGACCCAACATTTTATTTCATTTTTAAAGCTTACATTATCTTTTCGTAATACTTAATCTTGGTGGGGGGGTTTTCCCCATGATTATTTTTTCCAGAAAGTGTAGTGTAGTTCCACTATTTGCAATACGAGTATACTTTTCTCCTTCAGTTGTTGCTGTTAATAGCATCCTTTTCTTCACAAAATTTGTTCAAAGAATAACATCAGGAGACCTGATATATTAAAGATGTCAATGACCTCAATAGAGGTTAAAAAAAAAGGCTTTTGTTTAAACAACACAACAAACCTGAACACCAGACAAGTGATTCCTATGTAACAATAACATCATCTTTAAAACAAACGTGTTAACGTCTATCCAACAAAACCCATTAAGAACAGACTTAGTATAAAAGATTTTGGCTCAGACAAGGTACACTATAAAACTGTCAAGAGACTGTGGGCTATTTTCAGACCACATTTTCTGCAATGGCGCTATCTTTAAATACAGGACAAAATGTTGCTACTAAAATGCCACTAACTGAAACTTTAAGTTTTTGTGCAGAGAAACACACTGACACAATAATGGCCATTTAGGGCAGGAGAAGGAAACACAGATGGATGGAAAAAAACAGAGGGAGAAAATAAATAGGACCTAACTGTAAGACCCTCTAACCACCTGCTCTGATCACTTTATCACAGTAACAGTCTTAACAAAAGAAACAGCACAAGAAACAGAAATAAAAAACAAAAAAGCCCTCACCATCTTGTTTGAGTGGGTCTTTTGACGAGCTGGAGGTTGGGTCAAGGACACCAGAATCTGCGTCGGAGTCGTCCGCACTGGAAAGGGAAATGCCAAAAAAATAAATAAAGGTCAAGATCTTATAACCCAGTGATGAAAGATTCTGCAGGTAGTCTAACATCATCTTAAAACAAAATGAACAGATTCAAGACTTCATAGAGCCAAAAAAGTTCCAGAGATAATAATGAATGTAAAATACGTGTATAATGGCAAACAGGTAATATATAAACTTCTACACCAGAGTATAATTTTGAGGGATCATTTCGCATTAACATCAATATCATTTCGAAAGATGGTATAATAATTCATTGTTGGAGCACACCCAATTGAGCTTTGTTTGAATACACATTAATAAAATGTCTTCTTTGCCATGTTTAAAATTGTTTTGTTTTTTTTAATTTCACGTAGAGACACATCTGTATGAAATGTATTGTTTAAAAGTAAATACTGCCAGATACATTTATCAACACCTCTTCAAGTTAAACTTCACATACATACATCATAAGATATTTCTAATATGAAAAAAGATCGAAACATTCTATAACTATGGGAACAATAAAAGTGGTGCTTTTCTGTTTCTCTTCTATTACGAAAGGACTCCTTTCTAACTATCAGAGACAACATTTTGGTTTTGTATTTGATAGTTACTTAATTCCTTACTTTGAAATTTGTAGTTTCTTTTTCTTACTAATGATTGGCACACCCTCAACTATCACTATGAAATACACAGACAGTAATTCTCAACTCAACATCTAAATAAAAAGTTTGTAAACCTCAGAGGGCAAAATGTTCTTCATAACAATACCGAGAACACAATTTTCCCTTATTCATGAAAGTGTATATGACTAGGCTGGAAATACTGAAAAGCTTACTTAAGAACATAACAAAAGACCCAAACACCATACAGTTAATTTCTAAGAAACAACATTTTCTAAAAACCAGAGTAAAAACTTAAGTCCTGATCAAACAATACACATTATGTCCTCTATGTCTTACCAGTCAGACTCATACTGAGCAACCTCAGGGTAGACTGCAGACTCCAAGAGAAAGCGAATGATGGGTAGTCTCCCCGTGGCTGCGGCCACCATTAGAGGGGTGTCACCTTCCTTATTTCGCAAGTGGTGGTCGAACTTTGGCTGTTATACACACACACACACACAGAGAAAACAATTTGTCTGAATATGAGAGTTACGGAATGTAAATCCAGTACAAAAATTGACAAGTATAATGGTAGTGTTGTAATTTACAGAAAGAGTTTAACGGCACTCGCAACACAATAAGTCATATAAGTGCCGAAGAATAGATGTGTTACAAAAGAGTAACAAACACAAAAAAGAAGGAGGAGAGATCAGGGTGATAGATGTTTGATAAGAAAGAAGGAGCATGAGCAAACCACACCAGAGCACCAGCCAACCACCCACAATGGTAGCGTTGAGGTGACAAGATCTTTCAAATGAGATAATAATAATGTCAATTCCTAAGTACACAGCAAAATTTAAATAAACAGTAATAATCTTCCCATCCAACAGTCACTTTGTAATACTGCATGATGTTCCTAAAAACCAATAAACACTAGCCACTCTCAATAATGTCACCACTCCCTTAATGCCTCCCTTAGTCATTAGCCATTAGCAGTAAAACTCGCTCCACCCACACAGCCAATTAGAATATCAACTAAAATTTATAAGATGAAACTGCATTTCAACCATCAACAACAACAACAAAATGTCTATTTTTAGTTTTTAGTTGTAGTAAGAGTTTTACGGCACTTGCAACACAATAAGGGCATATAAGTGCCGAAGATTAGAGGTGTTACAAGAGAGTAACGAACAAAAAAAAGGAGCGATAAAGACGATAGTTGGTTGATAGGAAAGAAGGAACAAACCATACTAGAGCACACACCAACCACCCATAAATGTCTACTTTTCCTCCACTATCCTCTTTCCCTCTAACCCCCCCCCCCCCCCCACCCAAAAGAAAATGAATACCCAAAAACAAAACTAGAAAAAAAACCCCAAAAACTCCCAAAACAGACCAAACCAAACAATCCAAACAAAACAAAAACCCAAACAAACCCTTCCCCAACCATCCCTCAAACTCCTACTTACCAGCCAGATCTGTTGTAACAATGCCAGTGCCTTGCGCGACTTGTCCATGACGCATTTGATGACCTGCCTCGTGTGCTGCTGTCGGTGCGACTCGATCATGATGCGCACTCCCTCGTACTGTCGACAGGTCACCAGCTGACCCTCAGCATCCAACATGGCTGTCGTCGCTCCGTGGAACAGGAGAAGCTCAACAATGCGACTGTAACCTGAAACATTCGAGTCACAGATTCAGGCAAGTTTCAATGCGAGTAAAGATAAACGTATCGACACCATAACCGTCATTTCGTGCAGAAAAAAACACAGTGAAACAGACAAACAGAAAAACAAAAGAGGCAAAGTAAAGAGGTAAGACCCACCATTAATGGCCTTCAAACATGCCCTTGACCAAATAAGATGAGATAAGATACAAAATGATAAGAAAGAAACAACCTTCATTTTCCTCATAAGAAATTTTTTCTTGTAGCTGCTGCTATTTAAAGCTATATTAATATTTGTTTAGTCGATGGGAAAAACCAGTTCTATACAGGTACTAGCTTTACCCTTGATTTATTGGTTATAGAAAAGCAGAGTCAACAGATAGACTATTATACAAAGGTGCTTTCAGACTCACCTCTTTCAGCAGCCAACTGTAGAGCTGTTTTGTTATCACGATCTACGGCGTTAATATCCAACAACTTCCTGTACTCTCTTGGTTTCTCGGGACTGTCGAGTGACCTCTGACTCCCAGGCGACTTGATAAATCCCGAGGACGACCTTGACATGCTATGCATCCCTGAAGATCCCCCTGCGGCGTTGAGTGCAGGTGCGCTGTCAAACATACTTTTGCTCTCGATGGACTGTCGGCAGTAGCCCAGTAGGTAGGACACTATGGTTTGATGTCCCATTTTGGCTGCCACGTGGAGCGCTGTTGCCCCCGTGGTGGGGTGTCGCTTGCGAATGTCCCCGCCTCTCTGTGAGACAAGATTATTTCAATGTTTTCTTTTTTCGTTGGAATCAGGTTTGGTTTGGGTAAAGACACATGCTTTGACACAATAACAGTCAGTCATTTAGTACAAAGAAAATGTGTGTGAGTGTGCACTCTTTTTTGTGGAGAGCTAGAGAAAGACAGAGAGATAGGGAAAGAGAGAGACAGACAGACAGACAGACAGACAGACAGACAGACAGACAGACAGACAGACAGACAGCCAGAGAGAGAGAGAGAGTGAGAGAGAGAGAGAGAGAGAGAGGGGATAAGAGAGAGAGAGAGGATGAGAGAGAATGAGAGAAATTATCGCTATTAGAACCGTATAGTGCTCAAATTCAATAAGCCACTTCTTCTTGAGAAACACCACAAACAAATGGGAGAAGGCCATGCAAGCATGTTCTCCTACCACCTGCCTCATTTTTTCCAAGGGACAAAACTTTAAGCAAAGTATAGTCAAACCTGCTCAAACAGCCACCTCTTCAAGACAACCACCTGCATAAACAACCACTTCCCATTCACTGCCTTGCACTTTTTAAGAATATTATAATAATGCTGTTTAAGACAACCACCTGTCTAAGACAACTACTACTTTTCTTGACAATGAGTGGTCGTTTTAGAAAATTTCTTGTTTGTTTTAGTAGAGGTTTTACGGTGCTCGCAACTGCATAAGGTCATATGAGCGTCAAGGGGTGGATGTTAGAGAAGTCCTTACAGGGATTCAGAATTATTCTGCTCACCTCTCTAGCTTCAACAGCTTCAACTATCAAGGCACCCCGGAAATAGCAGGTCACAAGAGTGTGGCAAACATAGAGAAGAAGTAGAGGAAAAATGACAATAGTAAGGATTAGGAAAGAAAAAGCAGCAGTTCCCTGTTGAAGTTCAGGCACAGTTATGAGAATGACATTGTTGGATCAGCCCATTTACAATTCTACTGCGCATAAGAACGAGAAATGTCCCCCCTTTGGGAACGGCCTAAAGACACTTCAGTCAGTAGCACCGCCCGCGGGGTAGAACATTTGTATTGCATAAACAACACAGCAAGACGGATTAAGTGTTCCACGGAGTCCTGTACTGACCTCACACAGCAGTTTGAGCACATCCAGGTGGCCATTCTCCACAGCCAGGTAGAGGGGCCAGTTGCCAGTGCCGCTCTGTAGAGGGAGGTACAACATGTGAGGGTGATAACTGGACTATCAAGATAATATTGATGAAGAATAGCATTTGTATAACACATACCCCTCCTCAACAGCAAACTCTAAGCCATTTACAATCAAAATGAGACTGAGGATAGGGATGGGCATTTGGTTGAGAATGCTCGTCTTTTTTTTGTATGCGAGTATAGATCTGTGAGCGAGTGTGCATGCGTTTTGTGATACAACCTCCCCCATCCCCCATTTAACTGCTATTACTTTGGGTAACATAAAGCAAGTAAACAATGCAAAAAGGGCCATACTTTTGAATTCAGCTATAGAAAGATTTTATGCCGCAAATAAAAAGATTAAATCAATGAGATAAGAATAAGAAATGTTTTTTGAAGGTTCAGCATCTATCTATACACAGCAGGAAATCCAACATTTTATCTTACTAATATGAGACAAATACCATAAGCTCTTGACTAGAATTGCATTAAGATAATGATATAATGCTTAAACCAAGGATCACAGTAACAGCTGCAGCGTGGACTAACCTTTGGGTTGATGTTGTCGCCTTCGTCTAGCAGCAGGAACAGCTCGCCAGCATCCCCGTTGAGGGCACAACCCAACATCTTTGGGGTAACGATCTCCTCCTGGCGCCTGAGAAAAGTTTTTTTTTAAAATGTAGATTTTTTAACGCCCTCAATGACACAATTTAGATAGTTGCCTGAGACAGAAGACATATGTGAGTCAGCGTGGTGAAATCAGGCGCTCGTCAAAATAATTAAAGTCAAGAAACCTGCATTTTTCCACAGGATTTGAATTTTGTTTCAAATTTTTGTCTTTTGGTTCAACACCTTTTATATCCGTTGACAAACACATTTCTGTGAAGATTTCAATGAAAAAAGTTGATAAAAGGCGCAAAAAATGTACATTATTTGTTTCCAAGGTCTCTCAAGCTATGTAAGACATCAGACTTTGATGGCCATTTTCTCGCTAATTTTACCCCTGAAATCAGGCGACCCCCAACCTCCTTCGATTGCAAATACCTCGACTTCTATTCAAGATTGATGGATAATTTTTTTATCACAAACAAAACAAATGAACAAGCTTTATAATGGTACTAATAATTCCATATACCCCAAAATTGACGAGCACCTGATTCCAACATGTTGTAACACATTGGGGTTAACAAACTAATCTAACAAGATAGAAATGCGAGACAGTATCCATTGTATGATTGTTAGTTGTTTCACCATCACATGCAGGAAACTTAAGTTCCGATTCCCAGGTGTGGAGAATTTTTATTGAGTAGATTAGTATTTTTGCTGGGATGTTGTATCCCCCTAAGCCTGGGTTGTCCATCAAAGGCAGGTTCTCCTAAATGGTCTAAATTGTGTCAATGAAGGCATAAAAACACCAGCATTAAAAAAATATGTCTCTGCGTCTAGGTAAATGTCATGAACCTTATATAATATTTAACAAATTGCTCGTTGTGCAGCGTTCATCTCTTAAAGAGGGGTGTCACCCAGTTGAGACTGTTTCAGACTATTCATCCATACAATTTAGATAATTTAGGAAGCTGGCTGCTTTGACTCTGCCAGTCCAGGCCAACCTCGGAAGAGATTGGAAAATAGCATCCAAACAAACAGATAAAGAAAGTTGATTTTAAAAAACTAGCTAAACTGATACAACACAGCCACTAGTTGCTTTGCCTGAAATCTTATGTGTGAAAGTGTAAAACAGAAAGATGACACTAAATCTTCAGAGGAGTATCTCTGATGTGCTAGGAGCATTAACTTTATCTGCTGGGATAAAAAAAACGTTTGTTCATGCAGCAATTGAAAACAAAGAGACTTACTTCTCCCATGCAGCCTTGAGCTTGAGATGTATGGAAGTCTTTTTACACAGTCGTACAGCTTTATGTAAGCCCTGGAGAAGGACAGAACAGAGGAGCATTTAATCACAAAATATGAATTATCACCAGAAGTTAGAGTAACGGAACTAGTGGCTCTTTCAAAAGAGAGAAAGGAAAAGGTGGTTACGTTAGTGAGTTAAAAAAAAACAAACCACGCAACAAGATAGAGAGCGAAGATCAATGATATTTACTTCATAAAATACAAGAATTTAAACATTGATATATCAAATCAGAAATATCTATGTATTAAAAGGGTGTCTATTAATACCAATGTTAAAACTGTTTTTGATTGAACTTTAAAAAAAATAAAATCTTTTTGAAAAATAAGCAGCGTGAATTTACAGCTTTCTAAACTATGGGGACAAAAGCAGAGCATTTGTGACAAGATACAGTTTTGAGACGATCAAGAATTCTATGGCACTTTTAGGTCATATAAGTGCCGAAGTTTAGATGTGTTACTAGATAGTAACATACAAATATAAGAAGGGGGGAGGGATAAAGACGACATATTTTTTTAAGAAAGAAGAAGCAAACCACACTAGAACACTCGCTAACCACCAACACAGATGTTTAATTAATAACATCTCCTCAGTTTACTTACCACGTAGGACTTGGGGAAATGATCAAGGAAAACATCCACAGCATGCTCGTGGTTGTGAAGAACTGCATGATGCAGGGGGAGGTAACCATTCATGTCAGCTATTGTGGGATTTGCATCATGTCTGTGAACAACAGAAGACAACATTAAAATGCACCAAGTTTAGTTGGAGTAATGAAAAGTAAATAAATAAAATAATAAAGTAAGAGTTTAAAATGAGCAAGGCTGATTGAAATGACAGAAGGAGAGTCAAAATTTCACAATATAGATCCTTTAGTATGCAGGCTGATCCAACCTTGCATGCCAGCACCAACCCAAGATGAGTGGGAGATATCCATGCAGTTGGAAGACAGAGGAACTTGATAAAATATCTTCCCAACTAGGGAACCAAATTCATGTTTTTTTAAACAAAGTGAAGAAATTAACGACTACACCACATACACCAGTCAATGGAGAGAAGGGACATAATATCACCAACTCTTTGGAAATGGTTGTACATCACCCACTCAGGGTAAACTTTTTTTTTTAAGTAGATTTTTCACATTTGCTGACCATTTCAAAAAACAAGTTTTATTTTTTTTTCTCACTTTCCTTTGTTTAACACTTTAATTTGCTTATTTCATTTTTTCCATTTGAATAAATTCAAATATATGAAGAGGAAACATTGACCAAATTTGCAACAATTTTGAGGTACTTTTACTATTTCACAATTACTGAAGAATAACTAAAAACAGATGTACAAAAAATGGAATTTAAAAAAGTGACAGACAGAAGACCAACAGACAAACAGAAAAAGGAGACAAAAACAGAGAAAGGTAGGGCAGAGACATCATACAGATTTAATTAGAGAAATACTGAACAAGAGTATGGGAATGAGAAAGAAAGAGGGAGAGAAAGAGAAAGAGAAAGAGAGAGGGAACAGAAGGGGAGATAGAGAGAGAGAGAGAGAGAGA